AAGTCCATGCAGCAGGTCCAGTGAGCTTAGCGTCCCGCAGCCTTCAGAGTTTGGTTGCCAGGGTGTCCCCAGCAAGAGGGGAAGGCCATTACTCCTTGGATTTTCCCAGTTCTTGGAAATGGCATCATCTTTCATGAAGACGCCCAAGCCAGGGACCTGAACCCCACCTTACCTTCTTTCTTCAGGCCTAGCCAGCCACCGTGTTCTTCCTCTTGACCACTTTTCTAATCTTCCCCTCCTCTTGATCTACACCCTGCCCTCATTGGATCCCTCAACCTCTCTCATGTTAGCCAGACCTACAGTTTTATGCCCTGATTCTTGGCCTGTCCTGGAAGCCCTTTTGTCTGTAGCAGCCAAAAAGATGTATATAAATTCCAGAAGTGGCTCTAACCTTTTAAAAGCTCTGAAGTAGCCAGGCCGGGACAAAGTCCAGACTGATCAGCATGGTATGTAAGTAGGTTATTCCATTGTATGCCTTTTGTCCCAGTTTATTTATTTTTTTGATTGTTACTTTTTTTTTGAAGATGGTCTTGCTCTGCCACCCAGGCTGGAGTGCAGTGGCCCGATCTCCGCTCACTGCAGCCTCCGCTGCTGGGGTTCAAGTGATTTTCCTGTCTCAGCCTCCTGAGTAGCTGAGATTGCAGATGCACACAGCCACGCCCGGCTAATTTTTTGTATTTTAGTAGAGACAGGGTTTCACCGTGTTGCCCAGGCTGGTCTTGAACTCCTGAGCTCAGGCAATCCTCCTGCCTCGGCCTCCCAAAGTGCTAGGATTACAAGCGTGAGCCACCACACATGGTCTCAGTTTATTTATTAGGAGCATCCCTTTTCACTCTTGGAAGTGTTCGTTTAGACGGTCAGTTATGTAGTCCCCTCAATATCAAGCTTTTCATTATCTGAATCTCCCACTTCTCCAGCTCTTCAGCACATCCGTTCAGCAGCTTATCTCCTGCTCCTCTCTCCCTGGGCTTCCTCCTCCCCCTGGAGCAGGATGACTGTAGCAGATCTTCCAGACGCAACATCTAGGAAGTCACATCCAGATAGGACAGTGTCTAAAGGATGGAAACAACTGTTTTCTCTGTGTCTATTTCTTAGGAATGGGAATATCTTTCCCAGAAGTCTTCAGGAGACTTCCCTTCATGTCTAACTGACAAGGATTGAGTCACATACTCTTTCCCAAACAGGCCTCTGGCAAGAAGGAAAGAATGACCATGACTGATGTTTATCATTTGCGGTAGATGCGAGGAAATAGGTAGCAGCTGTGACTGTAACACCATTTTTTTGTTTAATTTGCTTTGGGGCCTGTTGATTAGAAGGCAAACAAGATCACTGCGTGGGATCTGTGTTCACCCTTAGCCCCAAGCACAGTGCCTGCATCAGCGGGCACTTTTGTTGCCATTGTTGAACTTTTGGATGGACGTAAGCTAGATGGTATCATGTAGTGGGGAGAACAGGGTCCTTAGAGCTAGATAGAAGTAGGCTTGGTCCCCAGCTCAGCACTTGCTGCCTGTTTAGGATCTTGCTGGACTTCTGAAGTTCAAAATCTCTAAGCTTCAGATTTCTCATCTGTAAAATGAAGCAAAGACTACCCCTGAGAACACATGTAACACATATGAACCAGCCAAAACAGCCAAAGATATTTTTCCAGATTCTTTTTTTTTTTTTTTCTTTTTGAGACGGAGTTTCGCTTTGTCGCCCAGGCTGGAGTGCAGTGGCCTGATCTTGGCTCACTGCAAGCTCCACCTCCCGGGTTCACGCCATTCTCCTGCCTCAGCCTCCCGAGCAGCTGGGATTACAGGCGCCCGACACCACGCCCAGCTAATTTTTTGTATTTTCAGTAGAGACGGAATTTCATTGTGTTACCCAGGATGGTCTCGATCTCCAGACCTCGTGATCCGCCTTCCTCAGCCTCCCAAAGTGCTGGCATTATAGGCGTGAGTCACCGTGCCCGGCCCAGCTTCTTAACATTTCTATTTAATTCTAACAATATTTTTGAGTGTGGGTGTGGCAACCTTTTGTGTGTGTATGTGTGCACTTGTGAACAGGTGTATGCCATGTGTATGTGGGAATACCTGTAAGAAAAATGGAGGAAAATATCTTCTAAGGAAAATGTCATTCCTGCTATTGCCATCTGGAATTTATGAGGTCTTTGCTGACTATTTGACCTGTCTTAACTTTCTTTCTTTCTTTTTTTTTCTTTTTTTCTTTTTTTTTTTTTTTGAGACGGAGTCTCGCTGTGTCTCCCAGGGTGGAGTGCAGTGGTGGAGTGCAGTGGCGTGATCTCGGCTCACTGCAAGCTCCGCCTCCCGGGTTCACGCCATTCTCCCGCCTCAGCCTCCCGAGTAGCTGAGACTACAGGCGCCCGCCACCACGCCCGGCTAGTTTTTTGTATTTTTAGTAGAGACGGGGTTTCACCATGTTAGCCAGGATAGTCTCGATCTCCTGACCACGTGATCCACCCGCCTCGGCCTCCCAAAGTGCTGGGATTACAGGCTTGAGCCACCGCGCCCGGCCTCTTTTTTTTTTTTTTTTTGAGAGGGAGTCTCGCTCTGTGGCCCAGCCTGGAGTGCAGTGGCGCGATCTCGGCTCACTGCAAGCTCCGACTCCCGGGTTCACGCCATTCTCTTGCCTCAGCCTCCCGAGTAGCTGGGACTACAGGCGCCCGCCAACGCGCCCGGCTAATTTTTTGTACTTTTAGTAGAGACGGGGTTTCACCGTGGTCTGGATCTCCTGACCTTGTGATCCGCCGGCCTTGGCCTCCCAAAGTGCTGGGATTACAGGCGTGAGCCACCGCGCCCGGCAGACCTGTCTTAATCTTAAAAAGCCTGTCTTAATCTATTTTTTATTCCAGGAAACTGTTTCTGACGTATGCTTTGTGGATTGTAATAGTCCCTGGAGATGATCTTTGGACAAAGTTTTCACGGTCATATTATTTGGTGGAATTCAGTGTGGTGTGATTTCCCCCTTGACATTCACAGTGACATTAGCATATCAAAGGTTTAGAGAAGTCTCATAGAGAAATTTGTTTTCATTGTTTAACCCAGGTTTCTCCAAATTTATTTTAACCCAGAGTCCTTTTTTTCTGACAGCACCTAGCAAGATCTTTTGCAATACTCTTTGGGAAATTGTATTAGCCTAATTACTGTGTTGCCCAGGCTGGTCTCGAACTCCTGACCTCAGGTGATCCACCCACTTCAGCCTCCCCAAGTGCTGAGATTACAGGTGTGAGCCATTGAGCACTGCCTGATGCTTACCTTGGATCCTACTAGATTCCTGAAAACTAATTAGCTTAGATAACATTTGGTCAAAGAACCAAAAATTTCAGTAATTTCCTAGGAGTCACAGATACATCTTGCCAATTCCAGGGCTGCCATGTCTTTTGGGTAATACAGTTCACTTTCCAGCTCAAGCAGTTCCTCTTCAAATTGGGCCACACTAAAAGGCAGGAGTTTGTAATTCAGAGGCATCCCAAGGTTTGTACTCCAAAGGCAGGCACAGAAATAAAATCTGATTCATGTGCATTAAAATCCATGCATTTTGACTAAAGCTGTAATTGTATTTCTTCCAAATAACTCTGAAGCTCTTTAAAATCCACAAATCAATGGAATTCTAAAAATAACTGACACTACTAGTACTGTTTTCTAAAAAATTAGGTAAATTTCCTGGCCCTCAAGGTGACTTGCTTGAACTTGCCACCTTCACCACTAGAGGGCAGCATTGGTTTACACAGGGTGAACAAACTTTCAATTCTAAACTAACGTTCTTTGGTGGGAAAGTGTTCATTTTGGTGTGTTTTGAAGAAGTAACTTCATACCTTTGAACTGGGGTTAAGCTGGTTAACCCCCAAAATTCTACCAATTCCAATATCCTATGGAAAAACCCCAAAACGACTAGTATAAATAAGATAGTTATTTCTGTTACTAATATAGTTTTGTTAATTTTTTTAGTGATATTTAGGATTAAATGGCAAAGTATGGGTAAGTTGCAGATTACCCTGAGCCAAAGTACATTCTCCTGAGTGTGAATTATTTTCCATCCCTGGAGAGTTAGCTATGAGGCAAAAGGAAAGTCGGTACAGGCTTTCTATAATGAAAGAATGACCCTTGGGAATCAGTTGTTATAAGAAAAAGCCTCTTATCTTACTGCTGCTTGGATAATTAAGGAAAAGTATTGATTTTAGAATTGAGGTCCCTGTCAAGGCTTTGTATTAAAACCTGTATTAGGGACTTTTTTTTTTTTTTTTTTCCTGTTTGGTCATGACACCAGTTGTTAGTACTTCTGCTACAGAAACAAAGATATTTGGGGGCAGTAAAACTCAGATCTGCCAGCTTTTGTGTTTAAGAGAAGTCTCACTTGGTTTAGTAAGGGATGGAGTTAGAACCACAAGATAACATGTTCTTAAGTTCCCTGTGATTCCTAGAATTGCCTTATCTTGCTGATCTCTTTCTGTCCAGATTTTTAATTCTGTTCCTATAGACTCTGCCAAATGTCATTTTTAGTCCAAACTCAATTAATTTTAGTTTTCTTTATGTTGGGACCCAACTGTATTAGTTGGGGTTATCTAGAGGGACAGAACTAATAGGATAGACATATATATGTATATATGTATATATCCCCATAACAGATATATATATAGGGGAGTTTATTAAGTATTAACTTACACAATCACGAGATCCTATAATAGGTTGTCCGCAGGCTGAGGAGCAAGGAGAGCCAGTCTGAATCCCAAACCTGAACAACTTGGAGTCCGATGTTTGAGGACAGGAAGCCTCCAGCACGGGAGAAAGATGTAGCCTGGGAGGCTGGGCCAGTCTAGTCTTTTCACATTTTCTGCTTGCTTTATATTCTAGCTGTGCTGGCAGCTGATTAGATGGTGCCCACCCAGATGGAGGGTGGGTCTGCCTTCCCAGTCCATTGACTCAAATGTTAATCTCCTTTGGCAACACCCTCACAGACACACCCAGGATCAATACGTTGACTCAGTCAAGTTGACACCTAGTATTAACCATCACACCAACTTATACTTCATTTTGCTTGTATTTTTCAGACAGACCTGGATAAAGACACTGCCAAATGTTTTTACCAAAATTTGCTGGGACTTAAAAAAGTGTATTAGGGCTGCCATTCATCATGTTCCCTGAAACATGATCGCCTCCCTCCAGCATACTGATAGCTAGCATACTGCGGGTATGAGTGCTTGTAGTGAACTACCATCTGAGTCCTTGGGGGCACCTTCTTTTAATGGCCATTTTTAAAAAGATTGTTGTGGGTCTCAGTGTCTGAATGAGTGTGTACTCCCCAAGGAAAATGAGAGGAAAATCCTCTAAGAAAAAATATCATTCAAATATGAATTCTTATACCTCTTATGTAAAATGTATCTGCTCTTTCATTTAATAGTATCAAAATAATTACTAGCATCACTATTATTCTGCTCATACTGTCCTACTTGCTGGAGCTCCAGGGGAAGCCAGGAGGAAAGTAGGCTGAGGTCTCAGTGATGCAGGCAGATGCTTGCTCACTTTCTGTTGCTCTCTCCACAGCTGAATCAGTCACTTGGTTTGGCAATCCTAGCTCTTGTCCTTTAGTTGTGAACCCTTGGTCTATGCTGTTTGCCTCATTTCTTCCACCTCACTATGAACAAATAGTCCTCAGAATATTCAAAAATTTTCCAGTTGTGAATTGCATTGACATCTTTGTATATAGCATGCATACATTTTGTTTATCACACATTTTTAAAGTAAGATTTAGTTTTATTAATAATTTTGAGTTGAAAGGGTCCATGCAAGTATTCAGTTTGATTCTGACCAAAATGTGCTACATGTATTTGGAGTCTTTTTATGTGTATTTGTATGTGTTTTCCTTTTACCAGGAAAGTTTCCTCGTTGCCCAGTTTCATGCAACCAGTTCAATGGGATTAAACTTGAGTAGTTCAAAATAATTTAACTAATTACATTAAATTTTGTTTACAATTTTTTAATGATGCCTACTATTAGGACACAGAGCAGCAACATATTCACAATAGTGGTGGGAAGGTGGAAAAGTTAGGGGATAGTTTGCATTATGCCTAATTATGTAAAACATTTTTTTCCTATAAATCTTAAGGGGGCCACACATGCCCCAAGCCACACTGAGATGAGGACCATATAATAAAGACCTGTGTTTCTTATAGTCAGTGTAATTCAGTGCAATGCATCTTTATATAGGTTAAGTTGAAAAATCTCAGTTTGGTGAGGTATAAATATGGAATGGTTATCTTTTCTTACCCCCAATAACTGTGACCAACTTTGCTTAATATTACTTCAGTCCGATCTGATAACTTCCATGCACTTCTGTTCTAAAAGTTTTACTGCCAGTAGATATTCATTTAACTGCATTTAGGTTATTATTACTTATGGTTCTTGTCCAGTTTACAGTCTTCCTTCCCCACCTGGTAGAACTTCTGTTCTACTGCAGTGGCCTCAGGCAGAAGAGGAGGACCTGGCTGCCTGCTCTCCCTTCTTCTGTCTTCAGTGCCTGAATGCCTGATCCAGTAGGTGTGGGTGGAGGTGAGGGAATGAGTTGGTTCATGCAATTGTTCACACACCTCTGGCTCCTCCCCCCGCCTTTTTTTTTGCAACGGTTGCTTGCTATTCTGGTTGTCAATGGTGAGGTTGGGCTGCTGACGTCTGTTTGGACTGGTGCTCTCTGCTTCCCTGGTACTCTTGATGTGAGGGCAAAACACTTGCCCAAGAGTGATTTCCTCTGCCCTTCCTTCAAGGCTCATTTCACCTTGAGAGGAGCTGGTCCTTCCAGTGTTCCTGGTAACAACTTACCCAACCTTCCTCCCACACTGAGGATTGTGAGATCCTTCAGGGTGCTCTTTAGTAGCCTCCAGGACCTGGGGACCCTGGGTGAGAGGCTGAGTCTCTACCTCTGGGAGTTTCCAGCTGCCTCTGTCTCTAGGTGAGAAATGGAATCTCTTCGCATTGAATGAGTTAAGGCAACAAGTCAAAAGCTCCTTCTTCCTCATGGGGGAGGAAACGGGGAAGGGATTATCTGTCCCCAGTACATCTCTGAATGAATGAATGGATGAATGCAATAAAAATGTTTCCTCAAAATTGAAGTATAAATTATCCCTTTTAACCATTTGTTACTAATTTGAATGTTAAAGATTTATATTTGTAGGGTTGAAAGCATTTCTTAACTGAAAATGAGGGCAGGAGCCATCGGACACGTGTCATTCCCCATCTTCTTTGAGAGGAGAGTATGGGAAAAGAGTATCCTCGTCTTCGTTCCTCATCCACATTCTGGTATGGAGAAAGCTATTTTACTTACCATGAGCCTCAGTTTCTTTATCTGTAAAATGGCAGCAAGTATCTCCCTGATTTTCTATCTCAGAAGGTTTTGTGAATATTTAATGTAATGGTACAGGGTGGAGTTTCCAATCTTGGCACTATTGATGTTTTGTGCTTGTTAATTCTTTGTTTTAGAGGGCTGCTCCATGTATTATAGAATTTATGGTCCCTACCTACTAGACTCCAGTAGCAGCCCCCTCACCTCAGTTGTGACAACCAGAAATACCTCTGGACAGTGCTAGATGTTTTTTGGGGGCGGGGGGGCACATTTGCTCCTAGCTGAGAACCACTGGTATAAGCACAGTAACTGTGCCTAGTCGAGAGCAAGCCATCCTAGAACACCATGTGCCGTGCGAGGATTAAGGATTTAAACTGTTCTTTAGAATTTAATGAGTTATGCAAGAAAGGCTCCATGCAGCAGCGTTCCCTTTGATTGTGTTAAGTTGTACTAATCAGAGTATTACATCCATTGTATTGAAGAAGGAAAATGTATTAGACTAAATGATAAGAAGATAAAATCGAGGTGGTTAGAAGATTTTTAAATGTATAATTTGTGGCAATGCAGGGAATATTTAAAACAGGATATACTAAAATACTGATTTTAAAAGTGCAGACAGATCTGGGTCTGTCAGATGTATTTGAAGACACAAGCAAGACAGCAAGGAGGAACATGCAGAATGTTCCCTTCCGTAGATGGCAGGAGTGAGGTGGACTTGCAGCAGAGGGCGTGGAACCAAGTAGAACAGAGGTGTGGGCTGAGGCTGGCTCCCTCTGCCTTGTGATGGCCCCTTCTAACTGTGATAGCTAGTACAGTGAAAAGACCCACTTAGTAGTGACAAACCATTCACTCAGGACTCAGCCTTGAGGGAGAATTGTGATGATGATAGGCAAGGCTTGAGTAGAAGGCAAGAAGAAAGACATTTTAGGAAAGAGCTTGTGCAGTTTACAAAGGGGTTCTCTAATTGTTGTATGCCTATTCCTGTTGGCCCAAGCATGGCTGGTGCAAATAAGTTAAGTTTTCGTGAATCAGTTCTGTCACCTGTGGCCTATCTTCCTCTGCTGCTTTGCTTCATGGAAGAAAATCTTGGCAGTAGCAGATTTCTTGTGTTCTTTTCACTATAAAGTATTGTCTCCCCATTGAAGGTCAGAGGCTGGGCTAATGAAACTGACTCTCACATGTTTGATCTAAGCTTTTGTCTTCAGATAGGTGGTAGTGTGGTGTAATGAAAGAGCGTGAGCAAGGAAATTGAGTAGAGGAGAGATCAAATGCTAGACTGCCATCTACTAGCAAGTTGCCACCACTCTTCCCTCAATTTCCTTATCTGTGGAATGGGGATAAAGAAAACTATTTTGCAGCATTGTTTTGAGGATCAGTTGGCATGCTGTGTGGAATGTGCCAGGATGGGGGGAGGTACTGAAAAATAGGAGCTATTAGGAATTGCTATTTTTAAACACAGGAATTCTAAATCTGAATTAAATGAAATGTTTTCAAACTAAATGTACTTCAAATTTATATTTAATGAACTATAAATTAAATATGAATTAATCTTCATTGCAGGCCCTTTGTCATATTAGTAGGTTGGGGTCCTTTATCATTTCTGAGCTAAATAACCTTGTTTCATCAAAATATCCCAGGCTGGGTTACATCAAGTATGGATGCCAGATATGAAATAGGCCCTCAAGTTTATACTTCTGGAATTAAAATTTGTTATTGGGCTGAAGATTTGAATTTATCCACCATAGAGGCATGATTTCTTTGAGACCTATGGCGCAAGATGATTTTCCTAATAAAGTCAGTATAGATAAAAAGTGGTGATGATTTTATTCTACACTTCATTAGGTAGACAATAAGTTTAAATGTGTTAACAAAAAGCTATTGTTTTCTGATGACTTATGATACTACTTATTTTTAGTGTGATATTTGGATCCCTTGAATGGGAAACAAAATCTAATCGATTCTTTTACAATGTAGGCCAAGTCATAGAGGCCTACTTGAAACAATAACTTGTTAACAATGTTAGTACCTCTCATTTTACAGTGAAATCGTTTTGATAGAGTCTGCTATGCATTTGACAGCATGTTGGGAGATGATTAAAAGTTTTTAAAATCCTTTGATTCTCAAAGATACGAGACGGAAAAGATTGTCCATTATTCTTTCAATAGGATTCAAAAAATTTGATAGGAGCAGGTTGAAAGTGGGAAGGTGAAAACTAAAATGGAGCTATCTGTAAATAAAGGAAAGAAGGAAACGGCTTCCAAAGAAAGCACATGGGTGTGGTTAAAGAGCGGGTTTTCTTTGCAGACCATGTTACAGTACATGTTTACAATCGCATTCCTATTCCTACCACTACTGTATATCAAACTAAAAAAAGAGAATAGCTACGCCGTTTTGCCAGCAGGTGGCACCATGAGAATCTCCTAGAAGAAACCGGAAGTCCCTGAAAGCAAGACTCTTACTGTTTTCCCAAGTCCAGTCATCAATATATATTCATAGTGTTGATGACATCATAAACACATCCCTTAAAAAGAACTTTCAGAAGATTCATTCCTCCCCTCCTTTTTCATATATTAGCATTGTTCATTCAAGAAATATTATATTCCCGGAAAATAATAGGAAGTTTAAAATAAAATTGTAACTCAATTATGTTTATTTGTTTTTCTCTGTATTGCTTAATATAGCCATTTGAGGAGCACATTTCCTTAGCAATAATGGAATATGTTATTATCAGGCTATGTTAAATGGTTAGAGAGGAAGAAACTTAGAAGGCGCTCTATTTTCACACTCCTCGCCTGCCTTCCAGGGATTCCCCATGCCCAAATACCTCCCCAATGCTGAGCAACCTCTCAGACTCAGGGGGCACCCTGTGCCGGAGATAATGCACATTTCTGGCCTTTGAAAGCAACTCTAAGAAGGCTGGCTTCGTGAACTCACCTTCGAAGCTTCCTGCACATTCCGTGTGATTTGGAGGAATTTGTTTTCCAGTGTTCCCATCTGGCTTTACAGCAACATCTTTTGATCTGGTCTTATCAGCATGTGCCGTTCCACTATTACGAGCTAGGCTGGAACTAGGACCTTGTTCTATGGTGTTGGTGGAAACCTCTTGATTTTGGCATAGAACAGAGATGCTCTTGCTGGAGTCTACGTCCTTAGGTGGATTCACAGAATCTTTCTCTTGGGCTTGTGGTTGCTCTTTCGTGAAGCAGGCAATTCTCTTATTTTGAGAGAGTAGCTGCTCTTTGCTCTTCATGGAGTCTTTGAGGCCAGGATCATGTGAAGGAGGCAGCTGGGACTTGCTTTCGTATGTGTCTTGGGTCACACGGGTTGCCAATGCTCTGAGAAAGGAGATAAAAGAAAGATCTCTGAAAACCAATAAAGAGGCTCTTCTTTAGATCTTTCAACTTACTAGAATGTGGTCCTCTTCAGTATCAGCCAAGGTAATATAGGTGGGAATGGGGTGGTGGGTGAAATTGAATGGTAACAATGTAGGGAAAATGTCTCACTTAAGAAGGGGAACGGAGCATTTCTTCAGGAAAACAGTTTAAAGAGGTCAGTTGGGAAGAGGGACTTAATGTCATACCCATGAGTTTAGTAATCAAGTTCTTACCTCATTTTCTTAGCCTGTGGGGCTCTGTGCTGCTGCCCTCCCTGTGGTGAGAACATGAGAACATCTTCTGGTCTCTTCTGAATTCCATTCCCCAAATAAGAGGAGAACTTTTTCTTCATGGTTTTTGCTTGAGTTAATTAAGAAGTGTTATGAGTTGGATTGTGTCTTTAAATTTTTTACTTTCAAGTCCTAACCCCCAGTACCTCAGAGTGGGACTGTATTTGGAGATAAGATCTTACAGAGATAACAAAATTAAAATGCGGTCATTAGGGTGGGTCCTAATCCTATATTACTGGTGTCCTTATAAGGAAAGGAACTTAGAACACACAGACACATACAGGGAGAGCACTAAGAGACACAGGGAGAAGACAGCCATCTATAAGCCAAGGAGAGAGGACTGCAACAGAGCCTTCCTTCACAGTTTTCAGAAGGAACCAACATGTCTGACATATTGATTTTGAATTTCCAGACTCTAGAATTGTAAGGCAATACATTTTTGTTGTTTAAGGCACCCAGTTTGTAGTTCTTTGTTATGGCAGCCCTAGAAAACCAACATAAGAAGAAAAAAAAGAATTCTGTAAACTGGGCTTTCAGAAAACCAATGCGTATAAACCTTGGTGTATATTACACATTAGGTTCATCTGGTGTGATAGATGGAAATGGAAAAATTTAAAGCAGTTTTCCAGTATTTACCTAGTATATGTTAAAGAGGATTTAGAAACACTAAGATCAGAGGTTTAAACTGGCTAAGCCCGTGGAGGTTTCCTTTGAACATTTTACTTGGCAAGCACAATGTTTTCAAAAACAAAATGACTGGGTGTGAGTGGATTGTCTCCTTCACCGCAATTATGTGACCTCCTACCCAACTGTGAGTTTGCAACTGCCAGCCATGACTAAGTGGACTTTTCACTTGTTGAGTTGATGTTTTAGCATCTTGCAGACATAGCTGCTATGGAGAACTCAATTAGTTTTTAAGACATCTCATGAACTGGTCCTTTAGAGTTGAAAGTCTTGGACTAGTTTTGCTCATGGGACAGAATTCTTTAAATCTACAGTTCGGTTAATAGGCACCAAGCAGAGGGAATATGACCAGATAGGGAACCTAGAATTCACATTGAACTCCTAATACTCTTTCATATGATCGCTTCTTTGTGAAGCGATCAGAACAAGGAAGAGTTCTTTGTGAGCCTCTCATCCTTTGTTTTCTCCTTGGGGTCTTTTGTGCGGGTCTCAGACATGTAAGAACTTCACCTATTCCATATAAACTGAGGGATTTTGAGCTACTTCTCCCAGCAAGGTCTGTCTTCTGAAGTTTAGACCTATGGGGATAATAGGTTGAGAAATGAACATATCTTTTCTTTGAAACTTGATATTTCTCCAGTGTTCTCTCTGTGAAGGTATGGTACTTCTACCCACCCAGTTACCAGATTTGACAAGCTCATTTGAGCACCTACTTTGTGCCAGGCAATATACTTTAGATTCTGGTTTTCTTTACCCTTGGACATATATTTAGTCTTAAAGCTCCAACAATTCTACTTTCTAAATATCTTGAGATGCTCGTCTTCTCATTTGCTTCACCTGACCAATGCCCTAGTTTAGGCCTTGAAACCATGGCCTGAACTTTGTAATTCTATCAGGTCTACTCTGACTACAGCCTGAGGTCTGTTTTACCTTAAACTTTGCACCCAGAATGATCTTTTTAACATTTGAGCATGTAATTTTCACCAGTCTCAAACCCTACAGGGTGAACTCTCAACTCTTTTGCAAGACCTGTGAAGTCATTCATGATTGGATTGGATTGGAGACATTGGCTATTTTGCGTTGTCTCTGAAAACTGCACCTACACGTTCTCCTCTTCCCCACTTCCATGTCACGTGCCTGCAGTACTGAGCTATTTGAGGCAAGCACTGCTCACTTATGTGCCTTTGTACATACTCTTCCTTTTGCCGGGAGTGGCCCCATTCCATATGTCCTCCTGACAAACTTCCCACCCTTTCCCCATTCTCCTCCTCCTCTAAGATTCTGCTCACATACTGTGTCTTTTGGGAAATCTTAGCTAAAGCCCTTTGATAGACACAGGAACCTTTTTATGTTCCTGCCCTACTTTGCGAATAACTCAATTAGCAGTTTTGATAATCATTTTTTATAAGCGGAACTACTCTCCAATGTAAATATGAGTACCTTGAGGGCAGAGACCATGGTTTTTCATATTTGCATTCCAGACTCTACCTGAGTAGCTGTTTTGCAAAGTCTGGTCTGAAAAACACCTGTCCCAGAATAATCTGCCTTAGTATCATCGCAGTTAAAAATGTGGATTTTTAAGCCTAATTTCTAACCTGCTGACTCAAAGGACTGGCAACATGCATCTTAAATAATCTACTCACTGGCATAGAATTGAATCTCAATAACAATTTCATTTAAATGAATCATGGAAAACTATTGCCTAGCACAGTGCCTAAGAAATATTGAGACTTAATACATATTGCTTCCTTCCTGTATCCCTGATTTTACTGTCAAGAAGTCTGAGGCTTAGAGAGAATATGACTTCCCAAAGGATACGGAGGCAGAAGCACCTGAATCAAAGTTTTCTACCTCCTGATTCATACTGTTTCCAATCCAACTCTCTACTCAGCAAGGACAGCCACTTACTAGGGCCTGGCCTTTTGTACACCCTCCTGAGAGTAGCCATCTGATCTTCAGTGTCCTTTTTGAATAAGAGTGGGAATCAACCAAATGCCTTCTAAGACCCTTTTCCAGTATGTGAGCTCTCATTCTAGGTTGGTTTAAGCATTTATTGCAGACAGAGAAATTGAAAGCAGAGGAGTTCGGTTAGTTGCTCAGAGTATCTTTCAAACCCAAAGCTGGAGGTTAGAAAGAATTCCCAGGCTAGACATTTGGCTATTACTCTTGGCATTTATGTCATGTATAAGCTCTGTTGACCTGAAATATTTTATGTTCATTTATAGCACCTGGCCTTCCTCTTGAACATGCTCTGTCCATTTCAGACTCCTGAGTTCTGGCACTTGCCTTCAGTAAGAAAGGATGTAGTCTTCAAGAGCCAAGATATTTCTTTCCTGTGCTGAATTTTTAAGTAATATGAAAATCTAATTATTTTAATGATGAACAAAGGAGAACTAGTTTCTACAGACTGTACAACTGTGACAATTTTCAACAAAAACAGTAGAAGGGTTTCAATTGTGTAACAATTTTTAATGGATAAGAGTGTGCACTTATATAGCACTTCCTTTATCCAAGTGCTCACTGAATCCTCAAATAACTTCATAAGGTAGGAAATACTTTTATTTGACATTGGAGGAAGCTGAGGTACTAATTCCAGAGACACTTTTTCTTTCCTTTCTTTTTTAACTTTCATAAAGTGGGCTAGGACAGCGACTTGCACATTAGGAACTGCTCAATAAATTGTTGTTAGATCCAAAAGAGAAAGATCGGATATCAAAAAATGGGTGAAACCAAATCAGCCCAGATAATGAAAGAAAATCAAAATGAAAAATAAAATTTAAAAGAAGAAAACGAAGGATTTAAGCAAGAAAGAGCTAACTTGAACGATGGCAGTGACTGGAAGCCTGAGAAATGTTAGCTCAAGAAGGCTTACAGGTAGGCTGCTGGCGGGAGCTATGTAATTGACGGGGGAGGGACAAGGAAGGCTAGGCAGCCTAAAATCCAGGCTCTGATCAGAAGCTCTTGCTGTCTTGGCACTCAGGTCTCTGAAAGGGCCTTAGCGGAGTGATGGGCCCACTGCCCTGCTGTGCCTCTGGGGCATCTTCCTCCCCAGTCCGGAAAGTCTTACCTTGCTGCAACTTCTGCAGTTCTTTTTGGAGCTGCCTCTGCTCCCAGGTCAGCAATTTCACATGGTAGAGGCAGATATCCTCCAGTTTCTGCAGCCTTTGGTCCAGTCTGGCTTCAGCCTGCTTGGCATTCTTCCTCTCCAAATCAAAGTGCTTATACAATTGTTGCCTGACCATGTGCCTCTCCATCTTCTTTATGGTCTAGAGACAATAAGGCATCACAACTAACCTGATCAATGGAAGACTGAGATACTGACCCCCAGCTTTTAATCAGAGATCAGTGGTTGAACCTGTGTATTTCTGAAACCACAGGTGCCTAGTCAGATGAAATCACACTATTGTTAAATGAGTTTCCAGAGTAACACAGAAGGATTGAGGGTAGTCATTCCTCTGAGCCTCAGCCTCCTTGTCAATAAAATAGTGATACAATACAATAGGCTCCCCCAACACAGCTCCCAGTCAGATTTGTGTGAAGATCAATTGAGATGGGTAAGAACTACTCTTTGGGAAAAAAAGGTAGCCTATATATATAAGGCATTATTCACCCAATAAGAAAAGCCTCTTTTACTGTTCTTAAAGGCTCCCAAAGAGGCTGCTCAGAGATCTGGAGAGGATTTTGGAATTTAGGACGTGGCCATTCCTTCCCGCACCCTGCCAGTTCATTAATTCACATATGCGTAGGTTCATTCAGCCTATAATCCTACTGTATGCCAGGTGCTATGCTAAAAGCTAAGAGTAATGGTGAATGAGACACAGTTCCTACTCTCAAGGGGCTTTCTCGAAAAGTGGAAGATTGGGGTATCCTGATTACAAAGTAGAACAGCATCCATGATGAGTAGTCTGGGCAACACCAGGGAAGCTGCTTAGATTGGGCAAAAGCTCCTCTTCTCGTCCTCACCCATCTTCTCAGACTTTAGATGCTCTCCTTCCTCCATGTACCCTGATGTCTAAGCCCACACCTGCTTCTTTCTCCTCTAAATAGCACTAAGTAGGGACTCATTTTTCTCTCGTTTGAGTCTCTCTAACACTTTTCTCAGAGATCAGAGCACAACATGTGCTCAGGATATAAACAGATTGCTGTCAACAAAAGTTTTGGTGATTATAATGCAGAAAAAAAGCTTAACATTAAAAAGGAGGAAAAGGTCAGGACACGGGAAAGAAATACATTTTAAGGTACTTGTTTTAGTGTCTAAAGCATAGACTAAACTTTTGTTAAAGAACAGGGCCAGTAGAACTTACCTCCAAATCCAGGGTTTTCACCATCAGACTATGTCTTGTTTCTTTTGCTATGTTAGGCTGAGTCTGGATTAATGAGCTTATTTTTCTTCAGTAAACTTAGGAGTCTGGTGTTTGGAGAAAGGACAGAGGGAGACCCGTTGGAGAGGGCTGTGAGGAGAATGTTAAATACACTTGAAAGCTCTCTTCATCCCTCCCTACCTCCCCTGGTCAAGAATGCTAGCTCCTTGGGCCATGGCACTCATCCCTGCTGGAGAGGCCAGAGCTCAAAATAGCTCTGTGGGTAAAAGAAGCCTGCCAGCTTCTAGCCTGTCCCAAGAGGGGCCCACAGAGCTCCTTCTGGGCTGTGTCCATGGGAGCCAGGAATGAAAGCAAGGAGTGTCTGTGTTCTCAATCTCTCTCTCCCCCACCCTTTCCTCCTTTCCCTCCTTTTCTTTTTTTCTCTCTTTGCCATACCTCCCTTCCCTAACCTTCATTCCTACTTCTTGAAAACCAGGTCAGCCTCAAAAAGAAAGCACCCTGTTTTTTTTTCTGTCATGACTGTGCCCACTTCGTGCAGGAGAGAAGTTAATTTATTTTGTATTATTGCACACTGTAGTGACCTTCTCCAGGCCTCTCCACGTGCTCAGAGCACTTTGGTGCTTATCAAGATTTTCAAAGTGGTGAAAGCAGCACTAAGCAAAGTAAAGTTAAAATCAACTTTTGTGCGCATATTTTGAACAGCTACAGTAGAAGGCTGAGCAGAGCCATTGTTTATATAACAAGATATTGAGTGGGATTTTTACTGTTGCCTTGGAGCTTCATCTGAAAATAAGAGGCACTGATATGCCACAGTCTAAATAGAGCTGCCAACACTGGGGCCTGGTAATCCCCCCAGAGTGTACTGACACGCAGGCAGCTAAACAGGACCTACTAACCACAATCATTGCCCAGCAAATAAGTAATTATAAGGAGATTACGGGGGATAGCAGGGAGGAAGAACATGCTACTCTCGCAGTGGGAGGTAGTTCCTTTCCCATCCTTTCTCATGAGGTAATTCCCTCACCTCCAGAATTTAAATGAATGAGGTGGGATTCCAAGAAAATTATCTGGGAGAATGAGATGCTACACAAGGTGAGACCGGGATTGGGATCATACCCCCAGCTAGAGGCTTGTTGACTGCAGAACAATAGAGCAGTCCCCATTCCATCCCTTTGTTGCCACTATAGCTGATGATAGTGAGGGATTTCTTAGAAAAGCTTGGTTCCTGCATGTCATTTTGAGAGGGAACTGAAGAGGAAAGCCTTGCAGAAATAATCTATGACTGAAGGGCAAGAAGAAGCCTTAGTGTGGAGTGCCTAGGAAAAGAATGGTGGTCAAAGCCATCCTAGTTACTCTCAGCCCTCTGAGAATGTCAGAGAGGACCTGGCTCCATGGGAGGGAGCAGAGGGATTATATGAGGTGGCGGAAACCATGGTATAGTCATCACTTTGCTCTTCTTGGAAGGCAGTGCTTCATCCGGAGGGGAAATGGAATCACAGGCAGGGCCAGAAGGAGGCAGAGACAGAAGGGATCTGAGTGAAGATGAACTCCCTCATAAAACCACACATCTCAAAAGCAGAGGACATGAGAACATGAAGAATAGACAGGAAAATCTATCTATGGGAACATGGGAACACAAGAATAGATAGGAAAATGCCAGTCGTGCCTTAGCATCACAAATGTGGCAGTTACAGAGGAAGATCTCTGCCTCCTCTATTCTCTCCTAGCCCATGACCTTAAAATGGTTAGTGTTGAAAAGACAAGGGAGAGGAAGTATACAAAAAGATCATGCCTTTTCCACTCCAAGGGTTGGAGAAGGAAGAATGATACAGCAGATGACCCTCCTTTCCCATCTCCAAACCTCCTGGAGTCCAGTGAAGAGGGGTTTAAATTAGTGTGAAATTGGAGCTTCAAAGCAGAATGGATTTTTTTTTTTAAACAAAATGTCAAGGAATGTGTAGAATCTGCCCAGGATATCATTAAGGAACAAGAAAGAAAATCAGCAAAGATAGTGATTGGAAGTGTAAAACTATCATTCTCAGATTATGTCCTTGCTTCCACCACCAGAGAAAGAAGTAGTTCAAACTGCTCAGTAAAGTGGTTTTGATTAAAACAAAATTTTACAGAATAGATTTTTAATGCACATTCATGTAGTTTTCTATAATTCTCTCTGTTTTACGTGGAGTCACATCCTTTTGTAGTCAAAACACATCTGGAATCAAATAATCTGCCATTTATAGAATATGTGACTTCAGTCATTAATCGTGTCCTATCCCTTGGTTTCTTTATTTGTAAAATTGGTTAAAAGTATCTGTATCATAGGTTTTCTGATAGAATTGAATGAAATGATGAATTTAAAGTAATTCGTGTATAGTAGATGTCCAATAAAAGTTAGCTCCTGATTTTCAGCAAAGATGGAGTAATGGGAACTAGATTTACTTTTCTACATGAAACAATTTAAAAAGCAGAAAAAAAATCATGAAATTAAAAAAAATTGGACATCAGTCAGATAGGATGGTGATCCCTGAGACAGTGGAAACAAACCAGGGAATCCTTATTATTGCTACAGCTTACTGACTAGAAAGGGTTTCCAGACCACAGCACAAGAATTGAGCAAAAAGGCAGGGGTTTCTGACTTGAGGAGACAGAGGTATAAGTTCAGAGAGACCCAGGTATCCAGAATTAAAGATCCAAGAAGCTCAATGAGGCCAGGCGCAGTGGCTGACACCTGTAATCCCAGCACTTTGGGAGGCCAAGGCAGGTGGATCACAAGGTCAGGAGTTCAAGACCAGCCTGGCCAACATGGTGAAAGCCCGTCTCTATTAAAAAGACAAAAATTAGCTGGTTGTAGTGGTGGGCACCTGTAATCCCAGCTACACGGGAGGCTGAGGCAGGATAATTGTTTGAACCTGGGAGATGGAGGTTGCAGGGAGCCGAGATCACACCATTGCACTCTTGGGTGACTGGGTGAGACTCCATCTCAAAAAAAAAAAAAAAAAAAAAGAAGCTCAATGAATCTCAAGCAAAAGATATATGAATTAAACTACTGCAAGGTATATAAAATAAAATTATTTTAAAAAGTAATAAAGAGATACTCTTAAAAACAGCCAAATTTAAAAAGATACGTTATATCCAGAGGAACACAAATAAGAATTACACAGACTTCCTACCAAAAATGATGAAAACCAGAAGACAGTGGAGCAAAACTTTTAAAGTTCTGAAAGAAAAAATCAACCTAGAATTTTATACTCAACAAAAATATCTTCAAGAGCAAAGGAAAATTGAATAAATTTTTCAGTCACACAGAAGCTTAAATAATTCTTCAACAACAGACCTACAGTTCAAGAAACGTTAAAGGCAATTTTTCAAGCAAAAGAAAAATTATACCTGATGGAAATCCAAATCGACACCAAGAAATAAAGAGCACCAGAAATAGTAAATCCATGAGGAAGTATAAAGACTATTTTTCTTGTTATATAAATCTCTTTAAAATGTAATTAACTGTTCAAAGAAAAACAAAAAATGTAGTGTGAGATGTATAGCATGTAAACATGTAAACAGCATGGGAACAGCAGTACAAAATTCATGTGAGAATAAATGGAAGTTTACTGTTATAAGGTTCTTATATTTGCAGCATTATGACTTGAAGGTAGACTGTAATGAGTTAAAGCTGTATATTCTACACTCTAAAGCAACCACTAAAATGATATAACAAAGAATTTTAATAAATCAACAACTAAGATAACATTGAATTATAAAAAATACTAAACTTGAAATAAAGCAGAAAAATAGGAAAGAGGAAATAAAAGAACTATGAATAAACAAGAAATAAATGGCAAGATGATAGATTTTAAACCCAAATATATTAAGAACCATAATAAATGTAAATGGTCTCAATGCCCCATTAAAAGGCAGAAATTTTCAGATCAAATAAAATAACAAGGCCACACTATATCATGCTGACAAAGAAACAAATCGAAAACACTTTTGTAAAATATGAAGAAATGAGTAGGTTAAGAGTAAATGAATAGAAAAAGATATACCATGATCACACTAAATAAATTAGAGACAGCTATATTTATCCCAAATAAAATAGTATTCAGAGTCAATAATTTAATAGGGATAAAGAGGGTAATTTCTTAATAATAAAGGGATTAATTCATCCATAATAAAATCCATAATATTTTGCACCTAATATGGGAAGCAAAAACGAATAGAATTACATGGCGGAATCAACAAACCCACAGCTATTGTCAGTGGCTCCAACATCCTTTTCTCAATAAGTTATTGAAAAAGTATAGAGAAAATTAGTAAGGCTAAAGGAAATTGAAACAACACTGTCAACCAACTTGATCTACTTAACATTTATAGAATGTTAATTATACCCAACAACAAAATACTCATTCTTTTCCAGTGCACAATGAATATTTATCAAGATAGACCACAGGTGGGCCATGAAACAAGTTTTAATACATGTGAAAAATTAAAATAACAGTGTATTCTGTTTTGTGTTGCTACAATGAAATACCTAAGGCTAAGTAATTTATAAGAACAGAAATTTATTTTGTCAGTAACACAGAGTTGATTTGATGTTTAAAAATCAATATGATTTAACCATATTAACAGAATATAGGCAAGAACCATAAAATCATTTAATTAAAAATCATTTCACAAGATCCAATATCAATTTCATCAAACCAGGAAGAGAAGGAAATATCTTCAACCTGATAATTAGCATCTATAATAAGCCCACAGTAAACATTATACTTAATGGGAAAACACCCCCAAAGAATGAGAACAAGGCATAGATGTTTGCTTTTACCACTTCTATTTACTATTGTACTAGAGGACTTAGCTACTTCAGTGAGGCAAGAAAAAGACATACAGACTGGAAAGGAAAGTACAACTGTCTTTACTCACAGATGACATAATTTTCTGTGGAGAAAATAGTAAGGCATTTACATCTTGTGTGATTTTAGCATATATCAGTATACAAAATATGTTTACATATATTAACAAAAATAATGTAAATTAAAAATATCATAATGAATCGAAAACATTTAGAAATACATTTAATAAAATATAGAACTACAAAATGTTTTATAGAGAGATTAAAGAAGACCTAAATAGACCGGGCACGGTGGCTCACGCCTGTAATCCCAGCACTTTGGGAAGTCGAGGCAGGTAGATCACCTGAGTTAAGAGTTCGAGACCAGCCTGGCCAACATGGTGAAACCCTGTCTC